TAAGAGAAGTGCAGGCTGACAAAATTAAATAGCCTGTACCATCAGGGCCCGTTTGCTCGAAGCTGGTTAACTAACCGCGGTTAACCGGATTTCCCTACGACGGGGAATTTTGGGTCACGTGACCGGCAGAGTAAGGACGGCGGGGAAACATGGCGGTGCCCCGGTGAGTGAGCTCCGCTCGCTTTGGAACTAATACGTCGCAGTAGCTGCAGTAGCGGGCGCGTTAGTCAGCAATGAATGGTGCAGGAGGTTTTCGCGCTGCATTACCTCACTTAAAACGCAAAGCATAAGCAATGACCTCGCCGCATTTTTTAGATAGACTTTCGACTCTGACCATTCCTAAGCCTAAATGAACGCGATAGTTGTCGGCATGGCAACGTTTTTGGAAAGTGGATTGCCTTGACTCAATCGGCCGGGTATTGATAGCACACAGAAGCATGGAGCGTTCCCATAGACCTCTTGCTAAATTTCAAAAGCACCGAGGTGCATGCTACGAGTGTAGTTACACGCGCTGCACCTGCTGGCGTCTGCAGTAATAACTGTTCTGAAGCAAAAAGCCTAAAACAAATGTTGCCGTGCACGGGCGTTCGTCAACGATTTATTATGATTATTTACTTAAAATCTTTTATAAGTGGAAGGCCAGCGCGCGCGGATCATAGAATTACACTTCCAGCGTTCTTCTCGATGTTCGGGTAATTTAATAGGCCAATTTTCAGTGGAGCCAAGTTACAGGTTTTTCAATTTATGAGTTCTTACATGCTGGCCAACCATGCTGCCGGTGTACCGCCCGCCTTTCACTGCTCACTTCTTTCTCATCGTTTTTAGGACTCAACTTCGTCGTCCTCTTTCGAAGTCGGAAGGAAATTTCAACGAGGCTTTTCTTCACTTCATGCAGCCAAATATTTAGAAAATTTCCAAACAAGGGTTAATTTAGTTTTACCTTGCCAATTATTTGTACCACGAGCAATAAAAATGGTTTCTTAAGCTCAAATGTATGCCACGCTGCGTCGCGAAAACCAGGCAGCGCGCATTTTTTGGGTCCCCCCATTTCGGGAACCTTTCCACAGAAGCCACTTATATTCGCTACAGCCAGTAGGTGACACCAGCCACCGCCCCATAATAAAACACGGAGCTATCGCTCATCCAGCCCTCTTCAAACTTGGCTAGGTACTTGTAGGTACCTAGTAGGGAAGGTCGGTTAACTTTTAACCGCGGTTAGAGTTAACCGGCTTCGAGCAAACAGGCCCAGAACTCAGTGTGACATATTTAATTGTATTTTTTTATCTGACGAGCAGACAAACTTTATTTTAAAAAATGTTTTTTTTTTTTTGTGTGTGTTTACTTTGTTGAATTTTATATATCCCGAGTTAAAAAGGTGACAGGCGCTGTGTTCCAATAATAGAGATGGGCTTTATATAGCAATGCAGCATTATTTCATTTTCAAGGAATATACCAACATCTGCCGGACCCTGCTCCAAAAGGGCCACTACCTGCTCCAAAACAACATTTTGCCTGCTACAAGGCCTGCTCCAAAAGGTCAAATGGCACTTCCATCACTGTGGTAAAACAAAATGGCTAGGTGGCATAAGCTACCGCCCGATCCAATGGGCTCAGCCGCATTCATCCATCCATCCACCCAAACATGAGTTGGTGAGAGGTGGCGGAGGGATATATGAATCCCTTTGAGGGGCAGTTGCCGCTACCTTCTTGACCTGTAACTTACGAATTTACCTTGTTTTTCCTCAAGAATCTCTTCAGCTTCCCTATAAAGGGACAATGACGCCCCTTAAAAAAATTTCATTTTTTGCCAGGCGATTTAATATTGTGTCAGAAGAGTACGCAGTAAATATTTTGCTGCACAGTCACTTATATTTTTAATAAAGCCAAGAAACGCAACTGCTCGAAACCAAAATCGAAGCCTGCGCAAGGAAGTCTGTGCCGGAAGTCACGTGGCTACACCAGACCGCGTTTTTTGATTTTTGTTAACTCTTTTTTTTTTTTTGGCCAAGCGCAGCAGACGACGCGGGTACCGGTTGCCGTGCGGTTGCTTTGCAGTTATGTTTGTTCCGCTCGCTTCTGCACTTCAAGATGAGTTGTTTTGTACACTGAAGAGTTTGAAATGAGTGGGGAATGCCCGTGATCGGCTCCGACAAGAATGCCCCCAAGATGTTGCGTGAAGAGCTGCCTCACAGGTTCTGCATCCAAAAGTAGCATTGTGCGGCAGAGTCTGCTCAGGTTTCCGAAAGATCAACGGGATCGGGACCAGTGGCTGGCTGCAATTCCCGCAGAACACTTACGGGCACCTCGGAAAGCGGTGTCCCATACCATTTAGGTCAGCGACGTTTCGTCCACAATTTTTTTTTTTTCAGTGATAATTGTAAAAAAAAAAAAAAAAAAAAAAAAAAAAAAATGTGTAAATATTGCGGAGAAAAAAAACAATCGCATGCCCCCACTCGGGATCGAACCTGGGCCCGCTGCGTGTGAAGCGGACACCTTTGCACTGAGCTACTCTTCAACATGAAAAAAGTTTAGACTTGTGGAAATCCTAGGGCATAGGCAGCTTTCTATCGTGGGGCTCCAAGTGCGATAGTTTTAACATCGTAATGTTCAGGCAGACGAGGAGGAACTCTTCGTTCGTATAGTAATGCAGCCGGTCGACTGTAGGTCGGTAAGTTTTCTGCCAATCTCCCTGCAACAAAGGCACTCGCGAGGCTCGAAGGCGAGCAGCGCCACGGATTCGCCACATTCACAACTAGTGAAGAAATCGTACGCATGCAGATGCAACTTGAAGTACGCACTTCGTGCTTGACGTTAGCGCGTTTCAAATTCGTGTTCGTAAGACGAGCGATGTCTTCAGCCACGAGAAGGGACGACGACTCGGCGACGTTTTCGTGCAAATCGGCTTGGTGGTCGGGCTTGTCGTACGGAACGAATCTTAATTGTTTTGATTGGTCCAAAATTTCTCTTTCGAAGGAAGGCAGATTTGCCGGTACCGGAGAATTCTGAGGTCCCTCGCCCGTCGTCCGCCGGCATCGCAAGTCCGTTTCGTTCAGCCGTCCAGCACTGCGATACAACGCCATGTGGACCCAAAGGATGCAGAGTTCTTCCGGTCCTCTGTGCAACCTCTTTTTTTTTTTTCTAATCAAAGTATATGCAGCTTTCTGGAAGCCACAAAAAAATGTGTTGCATATTTTTTTTCTATATTTAATATTGAGACTGTGCCTTCGATGACCCACCGCTTTGATTAAATTTGGTGGTCGCGTCGAAACCATGTAAAGCGGTACGTAACGCACGGAAAAGAGAGTGAGCGCGACTCAAACCGGCCAGTTCTCGATCGGCGGTTTTCGGGCGGAAGGTAACCGAATTTCGAGCCGCACTTAGTGTTCTGGGCTCTCATTTTTCATGTACACCTAAAAACCTCGGCGAGCATAAATACCCTGTCAGTGTCTCTTAAGGTTTCCTTGGAATCGTGGAAAATTCGAGTTCGGTAGTTCTGGAACTATAAATTGTGTGCATGAACTGACTACAGCATTCTCCGCTATTCTAGAATGTTGTATTGACTTTAAAAACGACAGGCGATGGCAGGGATCGAACCCCGGCCACGTGTGTGGGAGCCAAGCGCGCTACCGACTTGGCTACGCCGACTTGGCTACGCAGGCGGCAATATGGCAAGTCCAAACGCCGTTCTGTGTACACATTGCAGCGTCCCGGTCAATGGAGGGCCTTTGCCCTTCACTATAACGCCGCAGTCAGGTTGTGCCAAGGGACCCCCTGATGTAAGCAGCTTTTCAACTCCGCGCTGAGATAACGTTGACTCTGTTTGGCTTGCCGTCGGCCTGCTTCCCTTTTAGCGCTTACATAAGCGCGGGCGCTGCGAGTGCCCTCGTGCGCCTAATGAAGCGCGCCCATTAACATTCGGCCTACTGCTCGGACGGCGCCCGGTCGTGCCGTCTCTGAGAGCCCCTTTTGGAGCCAGCGTCGGGTCCGGCCCAGCGCCCCCCTCCTGTCTCGAGCGAGCGCCACGGCGGCATGTCGCCAGCGTCACCGTGTATCTCCGAGCCCGCCGTTGACTTTGCGAGCGCAGCAGCGATGAGAGCCGGCTGGTTCCGCAGTGCCTCGTACAGCCCCAACGAGCGCCCGTCCGTCTCGGCGCCTCCGCAGGTAGGCCGCGGGGGCTCGGTAGGGCTATTTTTAAAGCCGCTTTCTTTTGCGCCGCGCGTACTTTTTTCTCGCTGGCCTTTCTTACTGGGGCACTTGAGTCGATGGCTGTTTGCGTAGGCGGAGACATTGAAATTGTTGCACTCTGACCGCCGAGCTGCGCTCGGCTTTATGGGTGTCCCTGTACTTGGGAATGCCTGCTCCGGCGCACTTTGTCTGACCCGGGGCTTCCGGGTCAGCCCTGTGATCCTGCTAGAAGTTTACGGGCTCCGATTGTTGTCTTCGCGCCCGGGTGCGACGTCGATCCTTTCCCACTCGGGGAGTTGATGCTCGGGCGGGCGACCTTGAAAGACTCGCAGAAAGATTGGCCTCTCAAGCATTCGCTCGCAAATCTCGACCGCCTGGTTCGAGTCGCCAGTGTGTAGGATTTTCTCGGGGGCAGATTGCTCGCTCGGTGCTTGGAATGATGCGGGGCTATAAGCGTTGTTAGAGCGGCAGGGCGTCGTCTTCTCGCGAGACTGCGGATTGTGTTTGAACGGTTGGGACGAACATCAGAGCGGGGGCTCTAATCTGGATACTTGGCGAAAAAGTTGGCGAGTGACTCGACCGCAGTGCTTGGCCGTCTCCAAGGTCAAGTGCATCACCGGCCAATCACGGCCGCCGGATTCCTCACCGACGTTTTCGCCAGATCAGAGCCCCAGACTGAATCTGGGGTGTTTGGCTAGAATACATGGTGCCTACGGGGTCATTAAGATCTAATGAGGGACAGTTGACCTAGTGCCTTCTTGGCTGTTTTTGCTCGAATGGCCTGTTTGTCAAGTGGCGTGTGTGTGTGGCCGCAGGGCACGGACCCGGACGACCAGACGCCCAGCAGCCAGGGCGAGCCGTTTGGTGAGTCGAGGCGTGGTGCCCGAGAGCTGTGCGCGATCTCCTGGCGACCCGCAGAGCTGGTGCCTCCCGTGGTAGACCTCAGCCCCAGCGGTTGCCCGACCGTCCCGCCGTTGCCGTCGCCCGGAAACAAGCGCCGAGGCACCTTCCGGTGAGCAGCGTCGCGCTCGCCAAACGCCTGATGCGGGACCGTTCGCGAGAAGTGCTTCGCTCGAGTACGTCGCTCTCTGCCTTATCTCACCTCGTGTGCCCGGGGAACAAGGTCGTGGGAAGGCCTGCACGGATTGAAGGTCAATAATCACTGGCTGGAAGCAGTATCGGCGGTAACTGGGCAATGTTTCTCGCCGCCTCAATAAGGAGTTTTAGTAGATCGTTCCGATACCTCCGATAACGATAACATGCATACGCAAAGGCGTCGGCGGAGTATCGGGTATCGTTATCGTCTTCATCGAAACGGTCTACTAAAACACCCTTAGATCAGAATCGTTTGACGCGCTTTAGTGCCGCTGCCTGTACGAATGGAGGCAGAGCTGGGCAAGTATATTCGATCCCGATCCCCAACACCCTCAAAATTTGTATTTCCTATGCCGATGCAAGGTACAGAACCGAAATTGATTTCGGAAACTCGATACTGTATCGTCAATACTTCAAAATATTGCCGAAATCGCCAATATAATGATGGTAATATGATTAGCTTAGTTACGAAATTTATCCGTGGTTTTGGAATATTTAGTGTATCCGATATAACGGACTGTCTTTGAAAGGGCTTAAACGAATCCGGCCACACGAATTTCTTTATAGGCCCCACTGCCGGCGCAGCAGGTTTTGGTAGAATTTTAGCATTGGACTGAAGCTACGGTGACGTTTAATGCGACGCGGTGGAATTCGAGTGAACAATAATACCTGGTGCCCTGCCCTTTTGGATTCGGTAAATTGCTTTGCGAAACGCGAAGCCAGCACGACAAACGCACCAGCGTCTCGCGTCGTCTGCTCCTGGTACTGCTAACAAGTACGGGCGCGCCTCACCAGGTGGAGGTGTGGCGCTTGCGTATCAACGGATCCCTTTTTTCGGTGTGTTACCGCCTGAGCGAGCGCCGCTGGCCCGAAGTCTGATTCACAGGAACTTAAAAATCTGTGGCGCATCCTTTTTCTTTTTTCCTCGAGTTTTGGCTATTGTGAAAGTACACGATGCACTAAAAATGTAGTTTCAATACCGATACTTTCATCTATGGCAAGAGGTACCTAATACCGATTCACCAAATGTATCGGTAAAATGCCTAAATGGAAAGGACACGGAGCATAGTGTTTGGACGCTTGTTCGCTCCCGGAGATTAACGTTACGAGCGGCGCATTTTCGCAAGACAGTCGGTCGTTGGGGTGCGGGGCGGCCGGTCATCTGGGATGATTGGGACCGGGAACGAAGGGAGGCGCACTTCCCCGTGTTGCGCGCCAACCGACTGCCGAAATGGGTGGTGTCGCGTGCTCGCTCAGCCGCTCCAAATGGGCTGCCGTGTTTCGTTCCTTCCGCATTTCTTTCGGTCGCCTCGGCGCACCCTCGGCTCTGGCGCCTCGTTTGCTCTCCGCGCTTGGGCCCGGGCTGCTTCGTTGGTCCCGGAAGAGGGGAGAGCTCCTGCTGCCCGTGTCTTCGGGTCGCGTACCATGCACGCTTGTAAGAGAAAGTGCTTCGTTGAGTAGGCTTCCTCAGTGTTTATTGCGCGTTTGCTGGATCGGTGCTTCCTGTCTAAAATGGCGAGTTGTGGAGGACCGTTTCGCAGACGGCCGACCCTGAGCGGGGCTCACGAGTCGGGAAGGCACTAATGGGCAGCGGATATGTTCGGCGAGTTCCGTTGATGCCATCAATTGAGCGACCATGGCTGGGGAGTGACCTAGAAATAGCCCGGTGTGGCCGCCGTTTTGTTGCCGATGCGGAGGGATGCTGAGTTTTGTGGGTAAGCTACCTCGACAGGCGAGGAACATTTTGGGTCGTGGAAAAGCGGCGCGCGAAGCAATCCGTGAAGGCCGCGTCGAGGTCGGCGTCCCGCCGATCGTACTCCGATCGATCCTCCGCCATACACTTTCGCATAAAGGCCATTTCCCTCGGTGACATTTTTCGTAAAAACCCGCCTGCGATGCCGCGCAGCATTTCATGGTTATCACTGGGAAAGGGACCATGATGATGCACACAGCCCGTGGAGAACTCGTGTTTGCTTTGACCTGCGTGTTCAGATGAATGCGCGGAGGCGCCCTTTTAGGACACTGCGTGTACGCGGGCGTTGAATGCGTAGAGGGTGGTTTCATTTGAAGTCGGAACACTTGTGTCCGGGTGGGTACATTGAGTTGCCTCGAATGAGTGGGCGATGTCATATAGAATCGCGCAAGCTCTAGAAAAGTCGAATTTTTAATTTGATTTAAAAAAAAAAAAATGTTCTGGGGGCATTTCTGAAAACACAAGAAGGCGCAAACTGCGTGTTCAGCGTAAGTCCCTGTATTTAGGGAGTTCGGCAGAGTTGTGGAATCGCTGAAAGCGGCCGAGGTAGGAACTCACTCACTTCCTGCCTGTCGGGGTTTGCATGTTTGACTTCCTTCTTTTTTCTTCCTATTTCAGTGACTGCACTGGAACACGTTGAGTCAGTCTCTAAATATGGAGATTATGCAGCGACTTGAAACGTTTCTAGAATATTTTAATATTTTTGAAAAGGAAAGTTAAACTGTGTCTCTTTGACGATCTTTCGCAGGGTTCGGGAAACTCTACCGTGTGACCTAATTGACGTTTCTGGTTAATATGGATATTTCTGGAAAGCTCAGAATTAGCCCTAAGCCCAACATGTAGTCCCCGACAGGCACGAAATGAGTCGATTATTTCCGCCTAACCTAAGAAAGTTAGTGCGAGGGGGAAAAGTTCGGAAACTAGGAAAGCTGAAGTGGAGAGGAGCGGCCTCCTTTCCACAATGGCCCTTCTTCTGCGCGCCCTTTTCCCCCTCGCGCGGTTTTATGCTGTATCGGACTATGCTCTGTTTCACGATAACTTGGCGATCTGGGGAGGCTGCGGCCCCCCGCGACCCAATAAGAGCGCCGGAGCGAGGCACGTGACAACACCCCATGGTCGAGGCCACGGGGGCCAGAGCCAGGGACAAATGCGCCCAGCGCGCGTACACGACTGGCTCTCACTTTCCCCCCAACTCTCCTGCAACGCTTAAAACACACGGGGGGCCTCGTTACTGCCACAGTAATAGCGCCTTCCACGACAAAAAGTAGTTCTAAGCTTCTTTTTCTTTTAACGTCAATTGAACTCGCGCGCTTCCATATCTAACGAGAAGATAAGAAGAGTAAAGAATAAATAACCACAAATTTATGAGTTTCAATTGTATTTAAACCAAAAAAGTGACGCCACATCCGTATCCGCTTCTGATTTTTTCTCTGCTTGTAGCGCAGTGGCCGTTGGCGATTGCCGGCGATCGCAGCCGTGTAATCGGCCGTTTCCGCTCAAAACATCGCACCGCTCAAAACATCGCACCCGTCACAGATTCGTGGCTAAATTGAGAGTATGGTTGTCTCCTGAACTGTTCCCGAAATGCTCGCTATTCTAGCCAACGGAAATGTTGCTGCGGTGGACGTTCATCCGAAGCTAGTTGGTTTCGGAGCAGACGACATCCGGTTCCTCTGGGCTTCGCGCTTCGAATTCGGCGTAGTGACACAAAAGCTCCCGTGACTCCGGGACACGTGCCTCGCTCCGACGCTCTTATTGGGTCGCGGGGTCCTAGCCTCCACCGTCCGCCAAGTGGGATCCCGGCTTAGCCTCGAACCGCGCGCCTAGGTAAGGCGGACCTACTCTCTAGCCAGGACGTTCCCTGCTTGTCGTATAGACCTTTTCCACAAGGGTGCCGCCATCTTGAATTGTCGTCACTTCCAGTATGGGCGAAAACATTGTTTCGCCGTCGCCACGCCAAAAGAAGACATTTAGGATATAAGCCTAACCGTCACACATTCTCGTCTTGGCTCCCCTCTATTTTTTTGCTAGTTACAGGTTGAAACGTTTTATTATTTTGTCGCCGCCCATACTGGAAGTGACGACAATTCAAGATGGCGGCGCCCCTGTGGAAAATGTCTATACACGTTTGCAAGTCCGGCTTCAGGGCGCTGCCATCTTGCTTGGCTGGGGTGCGCTCGGACGAGTCATAATCCAATTACGAAGCCTTGCTAAGGCGTCGTAATCGGATTATGGCCGCGCCCAAGAGCGCACCCCACTGAAGAAAATGGCGGCGCCCTGAGACCGGACTTGCAAACGTGTATTATGTGGCCAAGAGTCTCTTGCTGAGGCATGTGCCAACACCACTAGTGCAGGAAGAAATTAAAAAAAAAAAAATACTTATAAAACTATAAAACATACAGGTGTTGTCTTCGACCGCGAAAGAGCATAAACAATTAAATACAATACCTACACCAGTAACTAAACGAAACATTAGAAAATTATCTAAAGTTTCAAAGCGATTAGCTGGATGCGCCAGAAGCCGCATGGCCATTGCATCAACGATGACTGCGCTCGCGGCAGCTCTGGCTTCTACGACGTGCTGGAACAGGGGCTGCGGTCGTTATTAAAGTCGGCTCCAACCCTTAAACATGCCCCTTCCTCCATTATTTGACGCTACGATTCTGTGTGGATATCTCTTCCTGCGTTCCGAAACAACAAGTGTGTAACGCTAGCCGTCGGCGATGCAGCAGACGCCGCCATCTTGTCATCGCGCACCCCAATGACGTGCTTCTGGCGCACCCCATCAGGACGGAAACGTTACGCGGCGCCAGCATTGCTCAAAATGGCAGCGCACAGGAGCCTTTCTTGCAAACGTGTATATAAAAAAGCAAAGTCAGCCGAACCAGAGCCCTATATATAAAGGGCTATGAGCCGAACTTGCCGTTTTGCACCCTCTTTCTTTTTCTGGGCATTATTAGCAACGTTTTGGCGATGGCTGTTCCGCGGTCTAACAATCACGTTTTCTACACCGTAGATGATAGGCTTCACGATAGAGATGCTTGATTACGCCTTTAGCACGAAATTACATGGTTAAAGGGGTGCTGACACCCCAACGTCGATATTGCTCTCTTCTCCGAGGCGGCTGGAAATCATCCCTATACATCTCCCTCAAAATTTAAAGA